TCATCTTCAGATGGTTGCGCATACCAGATGCATTTGTATTGTACTTCAGTACAGCTGTACACAACTGACACTTCACTGTGGAGTTGGTTACATCTTCGTTGAAGTACTGCCATACATAAGAATGTCGGACGTGTTTTGGAGCATTTTGCAGCACCTCGTTTACCTCATTTTTTTCACGACTAGTCGACTAGGGCCTACAGCGCCGACTAGTGGTAAAGGTAGTCGACTAGTCCACTAGTCGATTAGTTGGTGAAACCCCTAACACACACACACACACACACACACACACACACACACACACACACCATATTTATCTAGAGATATAGACCGTTGTCTTTATACACCGTGGTGCCAGACTTGAATTGTACACATACAGAATAAAAAAAGTGTTTTGCATGAATCTTTGTGGTGGTTTCGTTTAGTGGAAGACTATTAATCTCCTTATTGCTATTTTTAACTAATCAGTATCGACCATATAAGCAAACATAGACAATGCCAACAATATTAGTCTTAAATAAATAGTAATTTCATGTTAAGTTTATCTGGTGACTGTTATAATTAGTTAGTTTGGGTATTTTTCAGATGTAAAAAAAAAACAACAAGCCACTATATTTCTACCATCGGCCGCCATGCTTTCCAAAATTCAGCATCAAGCATGGAGAATGAATCCTGTCTGTAAACCACTAGTTTGGTTTATTCATGGTTTATGTGGTAAACCGTGTATATAACAAGAAACACTAAGAATATTCAGATCACATGACTCCTGCATGCAGAGTGTTTCTGACCCGTTTCTGTTTGCATGGCTCAGTTGTGGAGAGGATCGACTCCTGTGCCTCCATGTACAGCAGATCTATCCAGGGTCACCACGTCTGTCTGCTGGTCAAAACTGTGAGTGAACCAAAGAACCTTTTATCCTCTGCAAATTCTGATTTTCATAACCTATAATTGTGGTTTCCTTTTTAAAGTAAACTTAGATTGTGAGCTTGATTCTCTCTCTCCTCCCAGTCTGAGCAGACGGTGTCCATTGACGCTAAATGTGACGAGCCGACGCTGCTCGGGAATGTGCTGGATGAGATCAAGCAGACCTTCTCTCAGTGCTGATTGTGTCCGACAGCCCCAGGGTGCCCCCCGACCTCTCC